AGCAAGCATTTAGCGACAGTGGAGAGGAAAACTCCCTTTTAACAGGAAGAAACCTCCAGAGAATCCTGGCTCAGTATAAGCAGCCATCCTCCACGACTCACTGGGGATTGAGAAGACAGCGCAGACACACACACACACACACACACACACACACACACACACACACACACACACACACACACACACACACACACACACACACACACACACACACACACACACACACACACACACACACACACACACACACACACACACACACACACACACACACACACCAAGCAATGCTTCTATGGTTACATTGTGATTTCTTAGTAAATATTCTATTTGGCGTGAGATGAACTTTATTGTATTTATCCTAGTGGATCTATAATTAAACGGGTAAACTAGTATTAGCACATCCAACGTCAAGGAAAGCAAAAAGTTATTATCAGGAGAGGGAGAATGTTTAAGTGGTTAGCAGCAGTGTGCTAGTCGATGGCCCCCTCCATGAGGCCACCACAGCTCAGCAGAACGTCATTGCCGCTTCTTCTGGGGAGAAAAACACTTAGAGAAAAAATAAAGTTAACAGCTGAAATTGCAGAAAATAATACAGTTAAAGAGCAGATTGTAGAAGAAAGTAGTAGAGTGTGAAAAGTGGTCAGTGTGTCCTCCAGCAGTCTAAGCTTATAGCAGCATAACTACAGAGATAACTCTGGATAATCTATCCTATTTAGATGTAGGCATGTTGGAGGCAGGGCAAGGGAGAGCCGTCTTTACCGACTGTACACTCCACCTCCCTGTACTCCCCCACTTGTCCAGATCTAGGCTAACATCAGATTTTAACCATAGGCCCTATCAAATAAAAATGTTTTAAGCCAAGTCTTAAAAGTAGACAAAGTGTCTGCCTCACGGACTAAAGCTGGGAGCTGGTTCCACAGGAGAGGAGCCTGATAACTAAAAGATATGCCTTCCATCCTAAGTTTAGATATTCTTGGAACCACCAGTAGACCTGCAGTCTGAGAGTGAAGTGCTCTGTTAGGAACATATGGAACAATCAGATCACTGATGTATGATGGAGCTTGATTATTAAGAGCTTTATATGTGAGAAGGAGGATCTTAAAATCTATTCTGAATTTAACAGGTAGCCAATGTAGGGAAGCTAAGACAGGAGAGATATGATCTCTCTTTTTAATTCTCATCAGAACTCTAGCTGCAGCATTTTGGACAAGCTGAAGACTTTTAACTACATTCTGTGGACTTCCTGAGAGTAATGAATTACAGTAATCCAGTCTTGATGTAATAAATGCATGAACTAGTTTTTCAGCATCACTCCTGGAAAGGATGCTTCTAATCTTAACAATATTCCGAAGGTGGAAAAAGGAAATCCTACAAACATGTTTAACTTGGGATTTGAATGGCATGTCCTGAAGATAACACCAAGGTTTGTTACTTTGTTCTTGGAGATTATTGTAATGCCATTCAGGTCAGGTGACTGACTAAGAAATTTCCTTTTCTGGGTTGGAGATCTGGTCCAAAGATGAGAAATTCCCTCTTGTCTTGATTTAAAAGCAAAAAGTTTAGAGTCATCCAATTTTTTATGTCCTCAAGACAAGCCTGTAATCTACCTAACCGATTAGGTTCATCAAGGCTGATGGATAATTATAACTGAGCATCGTCAGCATAACAGTGGAAGTTTATCCCATGCTGTCTAATGATTTTACCAATTGGGAGCATATATATAGTAAAAAGAATTGGTCCAAGCACTGAACACTGTGGTACTCCACAAGTAACCCTGGAGTATGAAGAAGATTTGTCATGTACATTTACAAAATGAAATCTATCAGACAGGTAGGATTTAAACCAGCCCAGTGCTGTTCCTTTGATCCCTACAACATGTTCAAGTCTTTCTAAAAGAACATTGTGATCAACTGTGTCAAAGGCAGCACTGATATCTAGCAAGACTAGAACAGACACAAGATTCTTATCTGAGGCCATGAGAATATCATTTGTAACTCTCACTAATGCAGTTTCAGTGCTGTGATACTCTCTAAAACCAGACTGAAATTCCTCAAACAGAGCATTAGTGTTTAAATGCTCACATACTTGGATGGCCACTATTTTCTCCAGGACTTTGGATAAAAATGGAAGGTTAGATATTGGTCTATAATTCATTGGGTCATCTGGATCCAGAGAAGGCTTCTTAAGTGAAGGTTTGATTACAGCAACCTTAAAATCCTGTGGTACATATCCATTTACTAAGGATACATTGATTATATATAGAAAGGATTATTATTGATGAAAGTTTTTGTAACCATTTGTTACTAATCAGTAAATGTGTTTTGTCCTCACGGGCTTCCGTAAAAGGAAACATGATATCTAATATGGCGTCGCCCAGAGACTTAGACCCATTCCCACGTATTTTAGAACAGATTTTTATGGTTATATGTTATGAAACTGCCAATATTTTTCAACAATCGGGCACCTTTTAATTAATATAACAACATTCCGATGGATTTTTCCAGAGAATAAAGGTAAAAACGACACATTGTCACTTTAAAACCTTCATTTGTTGTAGAGATGCACAACTGATGTAAAATTCAAGTCCTTTTCAATTTGTGTCTTAAAATATTCACTCAGAGATGTACAAAACAAATTCGAAAAACTCACCCCAATTACAGAGCAAAATATGATTTAAATTAAAGCGCTGCAAGGACATGTTTCATAAAAATTTAAACTCATTTGAGGCAGTTCCAATTTTTTTTCTGATTAGAATAAAGCGGGAGCATTACGAAGGCTTGGAAAAATCCATAGAGCACATCAAACATTGGGAGCATGCCATATTAATGCTTGTGTTTAAAAGAGAAACGACTATTAAACTGAGGAGAAAGGCACTTCCTCTTGCGTACGTGGTTTTGTGAACGTATGGCGACGTGCTTTGCCGTTGCACCTTCAAACTGCACATCATTTGGCATCCACTGGAGCAGGAAGCAGTAAAAACCTAATGTGTCTCTTTGAGCTTCTTGTTGCTCCCTGTGTTCTCCTCACGGGTGAGGGAGGTGTCGTGATGAAGAGGGAGCAGCGTGATTGGAAAGAGTCGGAGTCTTTCATTTTGTCGTGATTTCCTTTTCTCCTCCTCGGCTGATCTTTCACTGCAGGGCAGGTTCCATTCGCTTGAATTTATTATTCCTTGCACTGAGAGCTGATGAATTAGAATATCTGTGAACAAATTTGGTGTGTGCTCGATCGCTCGTGCAGACGAGGCACGCGGCCCCTCTGTTTGTCGGAGAGCTGTGCTTTCATGGTGTCCTCAGATCTCGCTGCCTCGTAGTTCCGCAGAGCGATGGAGCCAGAAGGTAGAGCGAGATGGAGAGATAATGGGAATGGAGGGTGAAAGAAGGCTAACACAATCTTTAATGAGTTTTCTTGGCTGGCTTTGCCTGTTTCTGGGTCAGGGTCCCTTTGGCTGAGTGTGGGTGGGCTGAGGACTGTAGTGCACAAAAAGAACAGAGTTGTCCAAGGCCCTGCTGAAAAAAAACTCTACATTAAAGAGTTGTCACCTACATACAGATCTAATGGAGGAAAAAAGCTTCATCATCCACTAACCATGCACACATTTTCACACTCACACGCACATGCACGCTTGCGTGTTTGCTCCCCTTCCACCTTGCTTTGAGGGCCGCTTTGGTCATTCTTTGATTGCCTCCTCCTGCACTCTCATTTCCTAGCAATCGGCGTGAATTTGTGGCAGGTATGAATGGAGAAATAACATTAGAGCAACATCACGGGGAGATATCTGACATTATTTAGTGCTCCCAAAGCATTCGCGAGGCAACCTCTGTCAGACAACAAGGCTCCGCCGCGGCCACGCAGGCCAGAGAGGTAGATAGATAAAAGGACATGGAAGAATTACTGATGGGCCGATAAGCTCTGTTGTTATCTGGACAGTCTGCCTTCCTGCGTCTGTCCTGTGCGATGTTTCTCTCTGTCTGTTTGCCCGACTCTGCTTTAACAGATCAATCTGTGTCTGGCTGGCTGGCTTTGCTACTTTCACCACTTTCTCCTCGTCCTCCCTTACCCCTCTCCTGTCTTCTGTTTTCCACTGTGTCTCTGTCTCTATTACACTGTCTTCTTTCTTTCACACTCGTGAATAATTGATGTCTGCCGGTTCAATGGTAAGAATAGAACAGTTCTGGAGGTGACAAATGGGGTGGCGAATGGGCCTTATCCTCCTTTCTTCAAAGAGTTAGAAACTTAGCTGTACTCACTTTTGGGTGTGCTTGTCTGGATGTTTGGGCCACTGTGCGAGTTTGTTTGTGTGTGCATCTGTGTGTGTGTGTGTGTGTGTGTGTGTGTGTGTGTGTGTGTGTGTGTGTGTGTGTGTGTGTGTGTGTGTGTGTGTGTGTGAGTGTGTGTGATTTAAGACAGTGAGATGAAAGAGACTTGTAATTATAGGGAAGCGTATCTGTCTACTGCAGAAGTATCTGAGGAATGGCACATGGCTCAAACTGGGCCAAAAGCCCGAGGTCATTAGATCTGCAGCGTGCATTCGGGTATCTGTGTGAGCTGCTGTTTGTGTGTGAGAAAGAGTGACAAAGAGAAAGAACAAGGAGACCAGAGAAAATGGGAGGCAGTGGTAAAAGAGCTTATAACTTTAGTTCCTCGGAGTCAAACCTCTGAACTCCGTTCCTCCTTATTGGCTCTCAGACTCGTTGCTCAGCAGTAGAGCTGTTTGTGGTTCGACTAAACAAGGCCCTTTTTTGGTAAATCCATGTAGAAGAATCCCAGGATTTCCTGCGCTCCAAAATACACTTGTGTAAACATTCCAAAATATCAAATGATAGGGATTTCACTCTATGCTGTGCAAATGGATAATCTTGGACAAAGACTGTGGTTCCACTGTCTCGTCCAGCTTTCCTTTGCTCCAGTTGCCTCCATACTTTTTTCTGTCTGAGGTCATTTCCACCATCTCTTTGCTTCTGTCTCCCTCCATGTGATTCTCTCTCTATTTTTTGTTACAGTTGACGATGACTTCATCGGTCTCGGAGAGCTGCCAGAAACCTTCCCCTCGGACCCCCCGGAGCCCCTGCCGGTGTTTTTGATGGAACCAGAGGAGGCCTACATAGTCAAGAACAAGCCAGTTAACTTGTACTGCAAGGCCACGCCCGCTACACAGATTTACTTCAAGTGTAACAGCGAGTGGGTTCATCAAAAGGAGCACACGGTGGAGGAGAGGGTTGATGAAAACTCTGGTCAGTTCCTAACTCCTTTGGTCTGAATTTGTTAATTAACACTTGCTGCTTGTGAGTCTGTCTGAGCCATTATTTACATGGTATTTAGGTCACCATCATCATCACGGTGCAGGTGATTATCTGAGACATTTGTACTAAGCCTAAATACCCAACCATGCCTGGTGTGAAGATGGTGACATATACATACAATATGACAGGATGCTAGAGTCTTTGAGCACATCAGAAATGTGATCAACATTAATCTAAACATAAACTCACTGAGGGTGAGGAGCTCGGACATTCGGGAGGGACTCGGAGTAGAACCGCTGCTCCTCCGGATCGAAAGGAGCCAGTTGAGGTGGTTTGGGCATCTGGTCAGGATGCCTCCTGGACGCCTCCCTGGGGAGGTGTTTCGGGCATGTCCTGCCGGCAGAAGGCCCCCGGGTCGACCCAGGACACGTTGGAGAGGTTACATCTCCAATCTGGTCCGGGAACGCCTTGGGGTCCTGCCGGAGGAGCTGGTGGACAAGGCCGGGGAGAGGACGGCCTGGAGCTCCCTAATTGGGATGCTGCCCCCGCGACCCGGACCCGGATAAGCGGAGGAAGACGAAGACGAAGATAAACTCACTGACTCGCCTATCAAAACGTGCAATGTGATGGATGTGGTTACTTTTATTAAATGATCAATAAGATGTGATATTCCATATAAATATGAATTATCCATCTGATTGGTCTTTGAATATTTGATTTCATATTACCTTGTGTTCTTTGGACTATTCAGGGAAACACACACTTCATGTTAATTCAAACTGAGTCAAGGATATAGTTTATAAAAATGAATTTAATTCTATATTTCTAAACTAATGATGACACTAAACAAATTATGATGAACGATGGTTGGACAAGATAACTGAGACAATGAATGAAATGATGGGTGTAAGCTTAGATGTTTTGTAGCAAAACCTTGTTAAGTATCTGAGAATTTTGTGACGTCTGGGATGTAAAATCAGTCTGACTGTATGGTTTAACAAGCTATAGATTATTCATGAAAAGCCATCTGACGCCAGTGTGCAGATCTAATCAGTGCAGATCTATCAGTTCATACTGATAGATTAACATTATAAAATTTAACACATACTAATATTGTGTAATAAATCATTACAGGAATAACATTTATGTTAACCCATCATTCATTAATGTAGATTATTGGACACATTATTAAAACAATTTGGATTTAAACATATTGTCCATTCAACAAAATATGGTTATATAAACTTAGAAAGGTATAAAGACATTTTATGAGCCAGGAAAGATAAACTTTATTCAGAGAGTATAGATAAGAAGTTCTGCGTCTTTTGCAGCCTTGATGAGTTCTGACGTACCACAGGATTCAAATTCAAAAACACTTTATTAATCCCAGAGGGAAATTGATAGGTTAAGAATATCAGATCAAGTTCATAGACTTCATATTGTCAGGACTCAGGTATCTCCCGGCTGACCTTCGGACCACAACTCCCGACATGCTCCTCGTGGGGAGCTCCCAGCGTGCTCCTCGCGGGGATTCCCTCCACATCACAGCCAAGCAAGGCTATATATGGAAGACGCCGTGACCGGCTTCTCATCTCAGTCATCGTTTCTTCCTCACAGAGATACGACCAGAGAACTAATAAAACTATTAAACGTCTCACCTGGTTCGTCTCCTTCATCCAGTCTGATCAGCCTGACAGGATGACTGAGATGCGAATAGATTCGACGGAGATCGATCGTCTCCGCCACGAGAACGTGCAGCTGCGTTCCATGGTAGATCAGCTCAACACCAAGGTGAACTCCTTGTCCGACCACACCCTGCGTCTATCCACGGCTCTCACGGCTCTCCAACAACAGGCAAACGATCAGCAGCAACAGATCGCTGCGCTCCAGCAGCCAACCCGCTCTGCTCCTAGGGAGGAGCCCCACTTCAGCCTGCCGGAGAGGTGGAACGGAGAGACGGGGAGCCCCGATGGTCTGCTCGCCACGCTGGACATGCAGTTAGAGTGCCAACCTGGACGCTACCCATCTGTGCGCTCCCGAGTGGCGCATCTCACCTCCCTGCTCTCCGGACGCGCCGCGGAGTGGGCTGCTGCGCTTTACAATTCCAAATCCCCTGCCTGCAACGACTATGCTGCGTTTGTGTCCGCTCTCCGGAAGACCTTTGTTCCCCCCAGCAGCGAAGTGGGAGCAGAGACACGCCTTCTCAAACTCCGCCAGCGAGAGCGCTCGGTGTGCGCTTATGCGTCGGAGTTTCGCACCATCTCCGCCAAGCTGCAGTGGAATGACTCCGCTCTGCGGGCCGCCTTCCTGGAGGGGCTGGCACCCTACATCCGTGATGAGTTGGCGGGAAGGGAGCTGCCTCAGACCCTGGATGAGGTGGTTGATCTGGCGCTGCGCATCGACCAGCGGGTTCTGGTTCGACCCAAGTTATCCACACGTCCACCCAGGACGCCGGTGCCTCGCCCTCGTTCACCCACGCCAGCTCCTGTACCCATGCGGGCGGAGGAGCCCATGCAGCTCGGCCACCTTCCCCCCGAGGAGAGACAACGACGGTGGCGCGAGGGCCTCTGTGCCTACTGTGGCTCTCCCGACCACCGACGCCTGGACTGCCCGCTACGACCGGGAAACGGGGGGCCCCACTGAGTATTGGGGTTGCTCAGTCTGGGTCTTCTTCTACCCCTGTCGCTACTAACCGTCTCCTTATTCCTGTCACCCTCCTCCATGGTGAGGCCTCACTCCACGTAAACGCATTGGTGGACTCAGGGGCCGCAGACAATTTCATGGACCTAGATCTGGCAAAACGCCTACGGATCCCCCTACAACCCCTGGAGAGAGTTATACCAGTGACCTCGGTGGGCGGTAGGCCTCTCCAACCCTACCCAGTCCGAGACCGAACCCAGTCACTCCGTATGCTCACCCAAGGCCACCAGGAGACCCTCCATTTCCTGGTCATTTCTGCTCCCTCTTCTCCTCTAATCCTGGGGTACCCCTGGCTCCGTCTCCACGACCCTCATATTTCCTGGTCCCAGAACCGCCTGCTGGGCTGGGGGACCTCGTGCCAGACCCACCTCGTTCCTCCTCCATCCTCGGCGGGTCTTCCAGACGGGGGCCCCGGCTCCACACCGCCCCACCTGCCGCTGCCCTATCGGGACCTGGCCGCGGTGTTCGACAAGCGGCGCGCCACCTCCCTGCCACCTCACCGGCCATATGATATGGAGATCAAGCTGCTACCCGGAACCAGTCCTCCCCGCGGGCGCCTTTTCTCTCTCGCGCCTCCCGAGACCAAAGCGATGGAAGAATACATCGCCCAGGCCCTCCAGCAGGGGTTCATCCGACCCTCCTCCTCTCCGGGTGCCGCTGGCTTCTTCTTCGTGAAGAAAAAGGAAGGCGATCTTCGCCCCTGCATAGACTATCGGGGTCTGAACAAGATCACGGTCAAGGACCGCCATCCTCTGCCGCTCCTCACTACCGCTCTGGATGCCATCTCCCAGGCACCTACAATCTGGTCCGTATAAAGGCCGGGGATGAGTGGAAGACCGCGTTCATAACACCCACCGGCCACTGGGAGTACCTGGTTATGCCCTTCGGACTATGCAATAGCCCTGCTGTCTTCCAACGTCTCATTAATGATGTCCTCCGCGACATGCTGGGACGGTGGGTGTTCGCCTATCTGGACGATATACTGATCTACTCCAAATCCAAGGCCGAACACATCCATCATGTTCGCGCCGTCCTGACCCGGCTCCTGGACCACAACCTGTACTGTAAACCCGAGAAATGCTCCTTCCATCAGCAGTCCATATCCTTCCTGGGCTACATGATCTCGGATGAAGGCATAACCATGGACCCTCAGAAAATCCAGGCGGTGAAGGACTGGCCCTTGCCAACCAGCCTGAAACAACTGCAGAGTTTCCTGGGTTTCTGCAACTTTTACCGCCGTTTCATAAAGAACTATAGCACCCTCGTAGCCCCTCTCACCTCTCTCACTCGACCAGGCTCCCCTGGCCAGCTGTTTCGTCTAACTCCAGACGCCATTCGGGCCTTCCGCCACCTGGTCACCCGCTTTACCTCAGCCCCGATCCTCCGCCATCCAGATCCTGCAGTTCCCTTTGTGGTTGAGGTCGACGCCTCTGACGTCGGCGCCGGCGCCATCCTGTCTCAAGGCGGGCCCGACGACAGGCTCCATCCCTGCGCCTACTTCTCCAGGAAGTTTTCCACCACCCAGCAGAAGTACGGTGTGGGCGACCGTGAGTTACTGGCCATAAAATGGGCATTGGAGGAATGGAGGCAGTGGCTTCTGGGCACCACTCGGCCTTTCACGATCTGGACTGACCATCAGAACCTGACCCACATTAAATCTGCCAAGCAGCTTAATCCTCGCCAGGCTCGCTGGGCCCTCTTCTTTGAACCCTACGACTTCCATCTCGCCTACCGCCCGGGAGCCAAGAACCAGAAGGCGGACGCCCTCTCCCGTCAATTCACCCACTCCACGCCCTCGTCCGAGCCAGCGCCAATCCTCCCGGAACACCGTTTCCTGGGCCAACTGAGGTGGCCGTTGGAGGAAGCTATCCAGAACGCCCTCCGGGACGACCCCGCGCCTCCAGAGACCCCCGCGGGTCGCCTCTATGTCCCCACGGCCTGTCGCAGCGAGGCGTTGTCCTGGGCCCACTCATCACGCCTGTCTGGCCACGCTGGTTTCTCCAGAACTCTTAAATTCCTCCAGCGAGCCCTCTGGTGGCCAGGCATGGCGAGGGATGTGAAAGAATACACCAGCGCCTGTGATGTCTGTGCCCGCTCCAAGAACCCCAACCAGGCCTCGGCTGGTGCCCTCCGACCTCTTCCGGTGCCCAGCCGCCCCTGGTCCCACGTGGGGCTGGACTTCGTCATGGGTCTCCCGCCGGTCAATAACCTCAACACTGTCATGACGGTTACGGACCGCTTTTCCAAGTCTGTCCATTTCATCGCCCTTCCGGGTCTCCCCTCAGCCCAAC